CACCCGGGTGAGCATCGCCGCGCCACCTATATTTTCCATCACTGTAACAACCCCACACACACACTGATTGTTTTAGCTTATCGCCACAGCATTTTATTCCTTTTATTCAATTAAGGAATACTGAACTGTTCTCAGTTGGCGGGCTTATATTCTCTTGCCAAGTGTGGCCTTTGTTGTAGGGGCGGGCGGGCGGGCGGGCGGTATACCTGCGATAAGCCCAAGATATCTGTACGATTTATCAACAGGTGCCTTGAAAAGGCCTATATAAGGCGTATCGTATATTATATATAATGCCATTTACGACTACAACTTCTTCACCTTCAGCGAATCACCCACTGGCACGCTCCCTGGTGCTCAGGTATATACCTATCCATATATGGAGAGCAACATTGAAATGTGGCTATGAGTACATTAATCAAGCAGCAGGCCGCAGCGCTGGGCATTGTGGCCAGCAATGTGATGGCCTCTCACCTGGCCTCCTGCTTGCAACTGCAGATGACTTCTTACCTCTCCATCCAGAATGACACAGATATCACGTTTGCCATCAAATTGGGAAAAGACATGGAAGCCGAGAAGTGGGCCAGAATCTTCACGACGGTGACGGATAAAGCAAGCAGTGTCGAAGGGCTCCAAGAACCTATAGGCGTTTCGATGGATGCGCTGGCTAGTCTTGCAGAGATGGCTGCTGTCGCACCAGGCACTGACAGTGCATTTCGTACCAAAGCATCGTCCTATATTGCCATGCAAATTACCAAGCATGTCAAAAAGGTTGCTAACATGCAGCTGCTCGAACCAGGTGAGCAGGGGCAATATGCAATATGCTGCAGCTCTTTTGCAAGTCCTTGACTACTGCTCTCTTGACCCTCAGGCAATAATTGGCGTTCTGACCCCATGAAATGTGGAGAGTGGCTGATATGCCACTGCTTTGCGGCCCGGGTCAATCCCAAAGATTCCAGCCAGGTCCTGATAGGCTCCGTGTACATGAGGCCAATCAACAGTGGTGAAACATACACGTCCATAAATAAGTACAACATCTCCGATTGGGTCGCCAAGGATGGCTGGGTGGATGTGAGATCCATTGTTCTCCCGCCAGAAGTCATCCAAATACAGACTCTACACCGTGGCGGCACGGTGAGTGAGTGTTCTCTGCTAGTGCGTCCCTATGCTACTGCAGCAGGGCTGCAGCTGTAACAGCTACCACACACGACAGCAAGCCTCACCTCCTACTTGGCTGTGAGCAGCACTCTGGGAACCTGGAGCCTTCATTCTATATTCGATTTACATTCGATTCACATTCATTTCATCCCTTCATTTTGACCCTTCATTCCACACCCAAATCGAGGACACCATATC